AAGATATATATATATATATATATATATATATATATAAACAGCCAACACCTGTTATTTTTGGAAAGACAGCTCTTTCAGAATCAGTTCACTGAAGAATCAATACTGTGATTCGATGTTTTGTAGGTGGGTTAGATGCTGCCGACTGCAACAAGCTGATTCTTCAATCGGCTAGCTCTGAAAGAGCTGTCTATCCAAAATTACCCGATGTTGTAAATGAGTCTATCGTGACAAAAGTACCCTCCCTCGGTACAAGTATATGAATGAACTAACAAAAGATTACAGGATGCGCATGCCTGACGAGCGACAAGAACCGCGAAACCAGTGGTCTACCTTCCAAGAAAAATTTCCAGGCATTCACATACCATTTATTATGAAATATATATTTATAGCTCGACAACGGAAACAAATAAAGATGCCCCAAATCAAAATAACAATGTGGATCGGGTTTTGTAACCTAAAATAAAGTAGAATCACCATTGCTGAACTTGGAAATAAGACGAACGTTGGGGTCTTTTGCGGACGGGCACTGTTTGCTAATCCCCATACTGACCCGTGAGACCAGAGAACGAAACAGTTGCTGTTTAACTGTCTAATGATTTACTTTTAGCCACAGCTATCAGGTACATTCTGCAAAAATATAATAGCACTAAAACATGGATAAAACAGCTGTATGGTAGGAAAGAACGACGGGGTGAGGAGGGATCAAGGGAGATTGCCAATTGCTAAGATTCAGACGTAGGTGCCTTCTGGTTTGCACAAGAAAGATAGCAATGTTGAACAAAAAGAAAAGAAAAAAATATCTGGTAAAATCGGAGTAGATTGTATCTAATAGTTATGAAACGAGCTACCAATCGTGAGTAATGCGTATTCCATACTAGACAGAATTGAGAATCGATGCGAGATGACAAGGGGTGGACAGAAGTGCAACCCGAGTGCCTGAATGAAAGATGTTCCTGGTGTGTACGGACAGAAGTCGCCCATTGTGGACCAGCTCTAATTCGACTGATCCGCCGAGCGTACCGCGTTCAACAGGTGAGCTGCCGAATCATACACCAGTTGCGGCTGTAGGTGAGAATCCGCCGGAGTGGACATCACCTTGTTTAGCAGCTCTGGAGTGGTCACCCCAGTCATGACACACGCGGTGTGCATGCCAAACCGGTTACCGAACCGAATATCCGTGTCCAATCTGCAATAAAAGATCACACACACAACAGGGGAACAAATGGGGAGGGGAACGGAAATCTCACAGCGGTGTGTACAACTTCAGTTGTGTGTGTGTGAATGCGAATAAGAGATTTTTCTGTGGCCAAATGAGATGTCAAAATTAGTAAAACACGTCATGCGATGGCAATGATCAGATCGGTGATGGTGGTGGTGGGAACACAAAGTAGATTTGACCTCATAATTATTGACCAATTGAGGTCACGTAGTAGCGGTCATAACGAACCAAGAACGACCAAGAACAAATCCGATATAATAAAAGAAAAACAATCCGCTCGTCCTCGCTTCTTTACACAGGCAGTGCGACGTAGCATTGTCACAGCAGGGAGAGAAACTGAGTCGGGTTTTTATCGTTCAGTCAACAGAGTTCGAACGCTTCCTCGCTGATAGAGCAATGAAAAAAAACATACTTTAGGCTCGGGTTGATTTTGTTTTCGTGTTTGCCGATCGGAGCACTGCGTTCGCACAAATTTCGTCACCAGTGGATACGTCTAGTTCAGTGTTTGCGATACGATAGTATTAGGTTGGGTTCATCTGAGCAGCAAGAGAAACTGTGAACAATGGTTTCCCCGCTCCGCTTCCTCTGGCAATCGATGCACACATATGGATTCGTCAATCCCCGTATCAGCACATTTTAGCCCTCTTTGACCACATATTCACTTAACAACTGCACGCCTGTTTGGACATGTCAGTGATTACGGTCTGACAATTTGTCATCAGTGTATCCAATAGACTTAATTTCACTATCACGAAACTAGAGGATAGGTTAGGTCAGGTCTAGGACCATCGCATTCCCAGCTGCGCAGATAAGGTGATTTGAAACTAACTCGGCAAACGTTGTGATCCGGGTTTTCTTCCACTGTCACAACAAGCCGATCGAGTGGAGGGAGACCCAGGAGTTCTACTTCTTACTGATTTTGGCCTGACCGCACTACCAAGGCGACGACACTAACCAGAACACGAATCAGGACTGAGCGTGGTCCCGTCTCGGGTTCCAGTAGAATACAACTAAATCACTCCAACCAATGGACTATTGTTTTTTCCAATAACGATCCTATCTTCAGTCACGTTTTGACACTTACGTCACACGGGACTGTGCATTGTCTCATCTATCACCGTCAATCACACCATCCCTAACATATATCCGATCGGAGAAGAGGCAACAACCTGACGCTCATTCAAGAGTGTAATCAACAACAACAACAACTCGATAATGATTTACGAACAGAATAAGTGAAGTGGAATTTGTGATCTGAATTATCGACTCGTGACCGCAGTTTTCGGGCTGTCTCAAAAGCCAGTGGTGGGACACGGGTCACCTTTGATTATGGCCAATACGCGTTACAATGATACGCTTTTAAGATTTGCTGCTATCACATGACCGGGTTGGAACATTGAAGAACAGATTATTAGTAAGATACAAAGACTGAACTAGTGATAGGTTATCGTTCCAACGAGCAGAGACTGCCGGATCGAAGAAGGTTAGTGACCTAGTTTCGTTCTTTCAGGGATAATGTGAATCGTTAATCCTAAGCTGCAGGACCGGTTTACTTTCATTGGTGGAGTTTTACTGCGTCTATTCTTGACAGCGTTATTTCGTCAAACAGTTATGTGAAAGAAAAATTAACTGGATAGAGTCAGAAAGATAAAGTTGATCATAGGAGACTGGCCGGGGATTCTGCTAGATCACCCTTTCAATCCTGCCATGTTTGTAAATTGTTTTAGTCGCCTGTGCCGATCCATGGTTAGTCTGTCGATAGTAAATGAAAACAACCTTCGTCATTCTGTTTTGCATGCTACGTACGTGTACTTTGAAACTGGATGCGCCATTTCACTTTCCTTAGATGCTTTTGACACTCAAAGCTGCCTATTACACCCATTCACATTGGTTGATAAAAGTTCTGCTTCTTGTCGCTCACTATTAAACTAACACTCTATACAGCATGTCTGATATTTTAATGTCTTGCAAATTGTAAACAGGTCTGTTCAACATATCCACCATGTATCTTCGTTGCCGGAGAAGACGAGGCCTTAAGGCGAGTCTTCGTGCACAGTGATACCCAATGAATTTTTCGTCATTTACCAAGCCGAAATCTGAGCAGTAAATCAGTAAACTTGAGAATAGGTGCATTCGAAAGCCACATCAACACAAGATGACAGAAAAAATAAACTGGTCATGAGGAACAGTGGTAACTTGACGCCACAAGACAGACAGGATGAATCAGTAGAAGTATGAAAGTGAATAACAACGAAGCTCACCTGTCACCCACCATGATTGTCGTAGAAACATCGATTTTGTGTGTTCGACAGAGGTAATCGAATACCGGTTGTTCCGGTTTGCCCACAACAATCGGGTCTTTTCCGGATGCGTATTTCACAGCGGCAACCAAGGAGCCGGTACCTCGAAAGAAAGACATGCAGAAAAACACATCGCACATAATTTGAAGACGGAAGAAAGAGACATTGGAACTAAAAATAGTGTCAGATCTTTCAGCATCTAGATCCACTCGGACGAGGCGAATTGGTTGAAGTCAAAGAGGCGGTTTACCATCGTAAACCCGCAACGGTCAAGTGGTTCAAGTCGTAATCACTGACGTGTTCCAAGGCTTGAGGTTCGCAATTCAAAAGTCGTCATCATCACCACCACCTAATGCGGTGGTAGGAAGCTTGGTTATCTTCCGGATTAATATTAAACCCGTCTCTCTGGAGGAGGAGATGTGGTTCGCACGCCCGGGGTTTAGGTTCCCGGATTACCTTGAACGTGATCAGGTGGTTCAACGCTTTTATCTCATGTGCAATCAAAATTCACAATGTGGTACGGTGAATGCCTCACGAGAGGATAATTCTAGAGAGTGGATCCGGAAAATTCAAAGATTATTTCCGATTGCTTCCTACTGATTTGTTGAAAACGTGACCTGAATCGAACTTTGGTGAGAAGTTCCATGCTTCAGACCCACCCCACTTTATCTCCTTGGACGATTTTGATGCCAATTACGAAAATGACTGCTTCTTTTTATTGTACCAAAATCTCGAATACTTTGTTGCTTCACTAGTCCAACATTTACATTTCGGTTCAGACAATGATGCAGATGTTGAATGCTTGGTACCGATGAGTTGGGGTAGCCGTTGAGATTTTCTGATCGGAGTATGGCTCGATTAAATTCTTGTTTAACAGCAAGCAAGCGCCAAAGCAAAACGGAGAAGTGGGACAGCCGCGGAATAGCTGCTGTTAATCGACCAATCATTTGTGCATAAAGCTAGAAATGCAGAAATTAACCAAAAAGTTAACAATGTCCCAACAGAATCCCTAATCCGAATATAAAGCAACTGGGAACATTGAGAAATGATTCATATTCTATAACATTCTTCCCGATTCACAACGGTTAGGTGGAACTGGCCTCCTGAAATGCAGTAGACCGAGAACTCACGATTGCGGTCAATGCATGCAAAAAATGAATGTCTTTTTAACTTTCTTTTTCTATTTATTGAATATACAAATGTACATTCAATTTTCAGGAAAGGGGGCTGCGGTCATACAAAGGCTGCCTGGGGAAGATACAGATATAGGGAAGATGGGCGACGGTGGAGCGATTTGAACCCGGGACACCCAGGTAACTAGTTGGCGACCTAACCATTTGGCCACCACCACCCAAATATGTAATGCATAAAACCGTTTGTGGCAATTTCGCAAGGTGGTCCACTTTCAACGATACAGAGGGTGAAAAGTGATAAGAAATAACTGGAAAACGTATGAAATGGTCAGTCAACCAGTGAGGAGGAGAGTAGGAAGCGATTTCACTGTGATTCTCTCAGGTATTGTTTGTATACGTCATGGGTAACCTGAATTTGGGACCGCATGTAGCATTCTCTGCATATTTAATTGTTCCGTTGTTAATATTGACTGTTGACAGTAGTCAAACTCTGTTAAGAAAATCTTCGGTTTTTCCTGCTTTTTATTGGTTGACTCTACAGGCCTTCGTCTTGGCAGGCGGCAATCTTGGTTTGCTTATGGTTTTGCTCTGACCAGCACGCATTGGTGTTTTTTTGTAGGACTGCTGGTCAAGTTACTTCGAATGTACGCTTCCTTTCCAGTCCAACCATACTGTTTGCCATGCTGTATTTAAACATATTGATTCATAATTACGGAACTACCAAAAGACAAGAATCCGAGGCGTTCCCACCATCTTTTGATATTGCTATTGAACTCAAGATGCGTATATTCGAGCACACTACCGTAGATACAAATCGCGTATCACCAACGCAGATCACCATGTTGTTCTCGTAGGTAAAAAGAAGGCCAGAAAGTGTGTTTATTGAACACACCGTTGTTGGCGTTACTAACACCGAACGGGGACCAATCACCGTAAGCACTGAACATAGTGCACTTACCTTCTTTTCGAACTCGAACTTGGTGGTATGCGCTCTATAAATCAAGCCTACCAAACAGCGTAAACACAGAGATTTTTCGATTAGCCAGTTCATTACTGGTAATGGATGAGCAACATCCTTAAAGGTACATCGGCTCGTAGTTTGACTGTGTTTGATAAACACGAAGGCTCAAGTTCTAATAACGCCCAGCGAACAATGTGGAGTTTGATCGTAGTCAAATAAACATACTTTTTTGTGGCGTTCATTGAGAAATGGCCAAAACAATAGCGCTAGCACAGTGCAAAATTATCACACACTGTCACAATGTCACGCATTGCAGTTAGCCATTTTTACGATCAGGTGCCTGCACTGACCACGGTCGTGCATGCTCTCTCTTTACCACTTTCTATGCAAACAGTGAAACTGTGCTCCGCCCAACTGGTGCGAGCATGGAGAAGAACGTTACGCTGGGTAGAATTTATTTCTCAGTGTTGCCATTCATTTCATATTTGGATTAATCATTCGGATAAACAATAATCCTCTGGTTAATCTCTTTATTGTTAGCTGTATGCACAAGTGAATAATCGATTAAGACTTCCTCTATGTCTGTCCTTCTTCTCCGTATTTCTTTGGTGATTGAATGCTGAGATAAACCGTTGTTCATCATAGGAACTCGTTCAGGAAAAACATTCGTCTCTCTGATCTAAATATCTTCACTAAAATTCAAGTCTACAGGGTTAGGAAACTAAACTGGTTTCGAAAGTCTGAGGGGTTTTTCTTACCAATACGCTTAGGAAAACAGTGTGTTGTCCAGTTGCAATACGGTAGGTGAATCTCATCTCATCGGCAGCAGCTAAGGCGAACGAGGGAGGGGGGAAATCCTATGGAGTACGGACTGTTTCCGTTGTTCTATTCATCCTAACGAACGAAATCAAACTTGGAGATAAACGAATCAACTACGCCGTGCTGTTGATATGACAAATATATCGAATGCAAACAATGGGAGTACAAAACGCATAAGACGACGAAGGAACAAGAAATCATGTAAACCGCAGAGGTTGGGAAATTGAATGCAGATTGTATTCGGCATTTCGAAGATTTTTCATCGATTTGCTAAACAACGGTCATGCATTAGATTGCACAAATATATCAGGACTCCAAAGTATCACGAAGGCGACTTTAGCCTCCTGGGTCGACAAGAGCTTCACTGTGTGTATGTGTGCGTGCGTGCTCTAAGCATCAAACGGAACTCATCTATCAACTGCTAACAGAGGTGATAAATGGTTTGGTGGAATCCAAATCTATTCCTCAGTGTTGGTGATCTGTGACACCCTTACCCTCCCCGGATTGGTGAACCGGCCGACTAGCTAATACCTCAAGTCTTCTCTTGTTATTTCAAGGGAGGTTGCCTTAGATTGCTTGCCATTAGTGCCTTGTCTAATTGCACATGGGCATTGGAATACGTTCATCGTTCCTTCAGTTTGTAACAGTTGTGGTCCTTTGGTTATTTTCACGATCGGTTTGCTTAGCTTAGACACCACTCCTCTTATGCGAATCAACGCACACAAATCGGTAACAATCGGTACAACTCTCACAACAGATCTCAGGTTTATATAAATCTTTTCAAACATTCTGAATGCATTTGTGATACTGCTCACGGCCACTTTCCTGGCCTCTTCCAGGCAGTTCATTCCAGTAGACTTTTCACAGTTTACACCATAGAAAACATTCCTGTGGTTGATATGTTCTGCACACACGTGCTCAACCTAGTAAGCAATACACAAACAGATGACAAGTGAATTTATTCCCTACAAAATATCACCTCTTTATCATTGTTCAGTTACGAAATCCCCGAAATTCGAAAGATTTCGAAGTAACCTTAATCCAACAAATGCGTGCAGCTGGTAGTGATGAGTTTGAATCATGTATCGCAATCGGAATACCACCCCGCCCACATGAACTGAATAGCTCTGGTACACACTTCGGGATTGGAATTTGGCCTCTAATCCACTTCTCAAGCAGATACCTGATGAATCACTGGCATTTCTAACATTCCGATATGTATATATATATATACAGTGCGTGGCATGAGTGAGTGTATGATTTTGGAGTAAACGTGTATATCAGCGGACTACCATCTGTCAGTAGTCAGTGATGATGATGCAGTTGCTGCGCACAAGCACGATTTACTCATCGTACCTATTTCACATCTGTATTCACATTCCTCACATGTATCATCGGAGGGCTTATCCACATCGAATGGATTCCTCGAATAATTGAAAGGAATTAGTCTTAAGTAACACTAAACTGATCGAAGCGATTAAACCTCCAGGAAACCGCCATGTGATAATTGAGACATCTTTCCAGTTTAATAAGTTGTATTCTCCATCACATCGCATGGTTTACATATTTTCTTCCATTTTTGAGAATGAAATGAAACAGCACATTAGGATAACGATTTGTTTGTTAAAGCCCCAACTTCTCTGTGCCCATGCGGTTTTATGTCAGGCCATTTCCAGGTATTCTGATTCACAATTTTCTGACAACTTAAATCATGTTCAGCGTTGTTTCGGTACCATTCTAAATACTTCTGAATATTTTGCATGTCTCTTTACATGATCATATCTTTCTTTTCCCTCTGATCCGATGATAAATCTTTTTCATATTCACAATCTTCATTTTATAAGTTGAAAAACCAGAGCATTTCTTAAATCAGTGATTTTTCCGTTTTACAGTATTCTCTACCTGTTGTCTTGTCTAACCCATTAAATAAAGATGTTCGAGCGTATCGCGTGGACCAACCAGTACTATTCGTGAGACTTCAATCCGACTGGAGCGGCTGCGTGAACGTCTCATGAATGCAGGCAAAAGGTTTGCACTTTGTATTATTATGGATCCCACTCACCCACTGCAAACAGATTTCATTCCATCCCTCTAGTAGAATTCAATGCCGCCTGAGCAGAACTCCGCGATACTTTTCTTAGCAGGTTTTCTGGTTCGTTTTAGTTTACTTGAGATTTGAGTACTTTACTCTCCTGTGAACATTTTG